TTTTTTTTTTTTTTTTTTTTTTTTTTTTTTTTTTTTTTTTTTTTTTTTTGGCCCATGCATGATAATATTCCCTGCATCGTTTTCTCTTTCACAGGATATACAAAATATATATAATGTGTAGATATATTTAAGTATTTATATATACGTTTATATATGTACAATATATATGTGTGCATATGTGTTTGTATATATCGTCATTAACAGAACTGCCCGGTAAACCGTAGGCAGAGAGAGAGAAGAGGACAACAAACGAGGGGCTGTGTTTGTATATATGTATATGTATGTGTATATATCGTATTATATATATCGTGTATATATCGTATGTATATGTATATGTATATATCGTATTATATATATCGTAGCTCTCGACTTCTTGATTGATCAGTTCATCAACATGTGTATGTTGGTATCTCTTAATTAATCACTCCCTCTCCCATATCTCCCCCCACCTTAAAACACGAGCAACAAAAAAAAATAATAAAAATAATAAATTAAAAAAATCGGTCGTTTCTCATATCTTTGGGTCGATGGTGTTACCATCAGCAGCGAAGACGTGTTATTGATGTGAATTGATTTTTATTTTTTTATTCTTTGGAATTAAAGAAAATGTATCGTTTCAGTCGTTTGTAGAAACGTTACATTGTATCATATTATATATATCGTCACAAACAGAACTGCCCGGTAAACCGTAGGCAGAGAGAGAGAAGAGGACAACAAACGAGGGTCTGTGACAAACTGTTTCGTCGGAGTTTCCATATATATAATGTTGTATATAATTAATTATATAGTCAAATTCTTATTGTGTAATGGAAAATTGTAAATGATAAAAAAAAAAAACGCCTGTTTTCACTTGTCGAAAACCGCGTGATGTGGATTCCATTTTTAAGTATTATTTATGATTTCTTAATTCCATTTTCGCTCTTGATTGCTTGTGCATGGCTATCCATTGGTTATTTAATATATATTCCTGCTTGTTTTTCTTTATAATTACTAATTTACTAATTATTAAATTAGATTTCTTATGTCTTAATTATTCCTGTAGTTTTACGGTACTACCTGTCTTCACCCGGAATAGAATGCACGACCATTATCGCTGTATCTAGACTGACTGTTGCCCTAAATACGATACTTATAATCGTGCGTTTTATTCGGGGGAAGATTACAGCTGCCCTCCTGTTTTTTTTTTTTTTTTGAATTATCTAGCTACATTCATACTACTGGAAATCTCTCTCCCTCTCTCGCTCCCTCTCTCTCCCTCTCTCTCTCCCTCTCTCTCTCTCTCTCCCTCTTCTCTCTCTCTCTCTCTCTCCCTTCGCGTCTGGTCTCGAATAGCTTAGCTGTTATGATCCTCTTTAACTTGTTTGCTCGCCATTACTGCTGTCCCCCCGCCCATCCCCGCTCCCCCCTTCTCTCTCCCCTTCCTCTCTCTCTCTCTCTCTCTCTCTCTCTCTCTCTCTCTCTCTCACTCTCTCTCTCTCTCTCTCTCTTCCCCCGTGCCGTTTAGAGCACCCGGCGCTCTTGCTTCTCTTTATCTGTCTGGTCCTGATCACTGCTTTCTCTCTGTACTCTCTCTCTCTCTATATATATATATGTACTCTCTCTCTCTCTCTCTCTCTCTCTCCCCGCTTGTTCTCGTTCTTCCTGTTTATTCGGTGTCTTTCGCCTCTGTCCGTCTGTCTTTCTGTCTTTCTGTCTGTCTGTTTATTTGTCTCTCTGTCTGTCTCTTCTTCTTCCCGTTCGCTCATTTGCTGTCCACTCGCCGATTATCATCATCATCGTTATCCACTGGCTGAATCGATATTGCTTGTAATCCACCTTCTAATTAATCATCACTCATTTGCTGAACAGATGCATGCCATAATTTTTTCCCATTCTGTTACTCCTTTTCTTCAATCGACGGGGAGACAACTTTTTTGTCATGATGGTGATGATGATCACAATGGGGGGATGTATGTGATCGTGCTTTTCCGATAGACCACCTTGCCCGTCGTCCGCTGTAGTCAGTTACTGACCACCGTTATGTCCCTTTTTTTTTTTTTTTTTTTCTGCTTTTACGCTCTGATATTTATGTGATGATATATATGTACTAGCAGGCTCTTCTTTGGTTATGGTAGAAAATATTTCCTTGATTTTTTTGTTAAGTGCACCCAAGAATTCATTTACGTTGGAAATAGCCTGAATCCTCGTCCTATCATCCCTCATTTTCTCGTGTTGCTTTTCCCCTCTTTAGGGGTATTTCTTTTTCTTTTTTTTTTTTTTTTTTTTAAGGAATTTTAGGGGTATTTCGTTTTGTGGACCTACCGTATGGTTCCGTTTTTTTTTTTTAAACTATGGATATTGTAGAATTTGTTTTCGTAACCTTGTCTGCTGCATCCCGGTTGGTTTTGTCCCGTTATTCGGTCTATTCAGTCTAAGCAGGTAGCGGTGCTTCATGTGGGACCAGTCATCCGTTTTTTTTTTTTTTTTTTTTTGTCTTGGTATCCTGGTTGGTTGATTCCCGTTGTTCGGCCCGTTGAGCGCGGGGCGGTGCTTGTATGTGGCAATCGTCATCCGGGATGGGTTCGTTTTGGTACTTTTTCTTGATTTCTTTGCTAGAAAATGGAAAGATACACCTTTGCATGGTTTTGAGTCTTTTGTGCATGTTGAGAGTAGTGCAGCGAGGCCCAGTATCCTGCGTGCGAAGGGCGAGATCCCACTCGCAAAAGAGGGGAATTGGACTTAACGCCTGAATCTACCCTTGTTTGCGGAGAGGGGCAGAAAATCGCGATTCAACTGTTTTTCTGCATCTATGCGTAAAATACGTCCACATTCAGGAGCTCAATCTACTCCTCTTTGCTTGTGGGACCGCGCTAAATCTTGCGATCTGCACCCGAGAACCTAGCTCAGCGGGTACACCCATCACACTGTTGAAATACAGACTGACCCGAGTTGGAAGCCAGATGATGATGATGATTGGAACTTTTTTAATGATGATTGGAACTTGATTGATGAGTAAAGACAAATATTTGTGAATTGCCTGTGGGGCCGATCAGATCAAATGATGATATATCTCAACGTCGACGCCCTTTACTGAGGAAAAAAAAAAAAACCTAAAATAAAAATAAAAATAAGAAAATATAGCGATCTTCTTCTATGGTCACCTCAGCCTGATGTCCAAAACACACGTCCAATATGGCCTACAAACCCAACAAAAATTCTAGAGAATATCGTGTACCAACACCCTAGAAGCACCCTAGAAGCACCCTAGAAGCACCCTAGAATGTATTCCTATCGGTTCTATCCTACGGCACGGGCGGGAGAATCGGAGGGGACAGGAAGGGGGGAGGGGTTGGGGGGGAGAGGGGCAGAAAAGAATATACGAGGGCGGGGGGGGCGTTTTTTTTTTTTTTGACCGTTTCTCGATTTATGCGTGTCATCCTTGCGACGGGGCCATGCTTATCTTTTCTCTCTGGATCGTTCCAATTTTAACGGATGTCTGGGTAGAGAACGTCACGTTAAAAAAAAGAAAAAAAAAGAAAAAGAAGATTGTGATTCCAGTGCACGATGAGGAGGGCGCAACATGATGTTTATTGCCACGTCCGCACGTTTCATGTTTAATACTGTTTGGACTATGTGGATTATATTTACGTACATATCCTCCTTCTGTGTGCATAATTTTAAAATTTTAATCGTAATGAATCTGTGGATAATAATAATAATAATAATAATAATAATTATAATAATAATATAAGAATAAGAATAAGAATTCGATGGCAAATAATAATAATATAATAAGAATAAGAATAAGAATTCGATGGCATTCGGGGACCTGTTTCTGGTACTCCTGTTTCTTACCGTTCGATCTTTTATTTCTCGTTTCCGTTATAGATCTTTCCTTCTCGTTTCCGTTAGAATTTTTTTTTCTCGTTTCCGTTATAGATCTTTCCCTCTCGTTTCCGTTATAGATCTTTCCTTCTCGTTTCCGTTAGAATTTTTTTTTCTCGTTTCCGTTAGAAGTTTTTTTCTCGTTTCCGTTCCGTTTAGATCTACGATAAGAAACGAAGAAGGGAAAAAAAGACAAAAGACGGAGTGGGTGTTTGATCTAACGGTGAGAAACTGAGAAGAATAGATTTGACGCGTGGCTGAAAAACAAAAGAAAAAAAAAGGGTAAAAGGAAATGGAACCTCGCCCCTTGTTCTGGGGCGTGGGAAGATCCCGACTGCGTTTTGCGGCGCAAACTATCGCGACGCTGTGTGTGCTACCGTAGCTATCACCGCCGCGCAAATACGGGGGAAGAATGCCCCTCTGCGGAAATACCCCGCCCGCCCCGCGCAAACCGCCCACAGATATCCCGTGCAAATGCCGCCGGAGAGTGAGAGAGCGATCTTCGCCTGCTTTCACCGATCCCGATCCCGATCTCAATCATTCTTTCCTGCGCGGCTCTACTGTAGAGCTGGATGCTGCGATCGCGATTCTCGTTTTTGGCGACGCCATCGCGATCCCTATATGATGCACATTCTTTCACGTCTGGTCGGCAGTCGCAATGTAATGGCAACGGCGATTTTTTTTTTTTCCCTTTTTTTTTTTTTTTTCCCGAAAACGTGAGATGGTTTCAAAATGTGATGGCTGTCGATGGGTGCTGACGTGGATGTGGGGCAGTGAATTTTAATGGTGAGTTGATTGTTTGATTAATTAGTAGTACGTAAGTTTGATTGGATGGTTTCGCCGCCTTAACCAAGCGATCGCGAAATGGATTGATTGATGGGGAGGGAGTTCATTGGGTTGATTAATGACTTGGTTGAGTGATGGGAAGTTGATTGGTTGATTAATTAGTCGGTCAATTGGAGAGGAGTTGATTGCTTTGGTCGATCGATGGGGTATTGATTGCTTGATTAATTAGTTGGTCGATCGACGGCTTGTTTAAGCTTGTGTAGTTGATTCGGCCTCATATGCTTGGCGCGAAATTGCTATCGCGAAGAGCTAGCAGGAGCATGCCTTCTCCGTTGATTGATTGGTTCGTTGGATCGGTACGTCGATTGGCTCGTTGATTGGTTCGTTGATTGGTCCGTTGAATGGTTCGCTAATTGGTTAGTTGATTGGTTAGTTGATTGGTTCGTTAATTGGTTCGTTGATTGGTTCGTTGATTGGTTCGTTGATTGGTTCGTTCAGTCGACAGATTTTCAAAATTCTGTGTGTCAGAATGCATGTATGTGTCTACGTCGAGGTGGTGATCGTGGTGAACCTAGTCGTGTCCACGTCCAGGTGAATTCCGACATCGAGGATCTTGAAACTGCTGTCGCCAAGAGCTAGCAATCGCGTGCTCTCTCCGTTGATTGATTGGTTCGTTGATTGGTTCGATGATCGGGATGTTGATTGGTTTGTTGATTGGTTCGTTGATTGACACGTGGAGTGCTATTGTGACATTCCCAAGGATCCGTACCTCGTCTTCGCGTCTCCTCTTATAGTAGAGGTAGGTAGGCTAGATTGAATTGATGCATGCACTGGGACCTTTTTCTGGGTGTATCTGATCTCGATTACGGCAAAGTTCCAAGTCGAAGAAGATGCCCGTTGGGATTGCGCCCATTTTGATATTCGGAAGATGGCCCGAAAAGTAGACCAGGTTCAGAATCCACATTGACTGGAGAGGGTCCTCCTAACAGTAGACCAGACCAAATCAACAGAAATGTTTTTGGACCAGGTTCAAGCGAAAGAGCAGAGTAGCCTCGGTCCAGAGAATCAGGTTTGAAAACCAGACCAGGTCCAAGAGCAGATTGCCTCGAGAGAGCATCCGAATCGTCTCGATGGCTTGTCTTATTTCTCTCCCCCCCTCTCTCTCTCTCTCTCTCTCTCTCTCTCTCGCTCGCTCGATTTCTCTCTTTTTCTCTCTGTATATGTATTATGTAGATATGCATCCACGTCGGCGGCCTTGTACGCAAGAGGTTCTGAACAGGGGGAGTCATAAGGAAGAAGATTAAAGAAATGAATTTATTCTTCTTTGTTTTCTTTCTGTTTTCCTTTCGCTTTTGCGCTCTGACAACCTTGTTTTCTTTTTCTTTGTGTGTGTATATGTGTATATATACGAATATATACATATACGTATTATATGTATATGTACGTCATTGCGCTGTGTGTGTATTATATAGATATATACGATCTATACGTATAGATACAGGTAACTCTTCGTGCGACCGCAAATCAATGACGTGTCATGACATGTTCTCATCTGGATTTTTTTTTTTTTTTAATTAAATTTGATTTTTTAAATCTCTTGTCTCTGAGTAATTCCACGTCAGCCTCAAGAAAATAGGTTATCAATCGTGAAAAGAAAAAAAGAAAGAAGCGAAATAATTATCTTACGATTACTAGCTTAATCAGACGTCTTAAAAAAAAAAAAAAAAGAAAGCGATGACGTCATCACTCGCCCACGTCAGCCTCCTTATCCAGTACTAGTTCCCTTATCCACAAAAAAAAAAAAGAAAAAGATATCCTATTATCCTCTTATCTGAAATAATAACTGTATCTCTTGACCGAAAAGCAGTATTTTTCATTATCTGAGAAATTAACGTAATTAATTAATTAATCTCGTTATCCAAAACCGGCTTCCTTCAGAAAAGGAAGGCGGAATAAAAAACAAACGAGCTTTTTTTGGTCCACAAAACGACAAATTGACTTTGTATATATTTAAATTTGTAATTATAACATAATAATGATATAATAAGTATAATAATAATAATAATAATAATAATAATACTAATATATTATATATATATCGTCACATAAATATCAGAGTGCGAAAGCGAATGAAAAAGAAAAACAAAAAAGATATCAATTCATTTTTAATCTTCTTCCTTACAAGACTCTCCCCCTGTTCAAAACCTCTTGCGTACAAGGCCGCCCACGTGGATGTAGGTTGAGCGGCGGCTGCCCCCACCCCCGTGTGTCATATCGACCCACTTGCACACAGCCAAAAGGCAAAGAGGCAAAGAAAAGAGGAAGGGAACAGCCAAATAAAACAGAACAGGGGGCAACAACTGAACAGATCCCAGATGACAAGTCCCCCATGCGCGCACCGCCCCTGCACCACAGGCCAAACGACGGGACAAGACCAACCAGGATATCAAAACATTCTTGTCTGCAAAAAAAWCAAAAAAAAAAAAAAAAAGCTCCGGTCCACAGTGTAACAACCAAAAAGAAAGAGAAGACAATCCCCGGATGTATATATATATATATCAATCAATGAATGATGGATGCTCTGGACAGGAGAGGATTGGGACGGAGAGAAGGTGGGCAGGCAGCTGAGCGGGTGTGTGGGTGCATAGGTGGTTAGGCGAGTGGGTGTGCAGGTAGGTAGGGTGGTAGGTCGGTAGGTAGGTAAGGGGGTTGCTGGGGAAGGGGGGGTAGGGAGTAGGTAGACAGAGAAGAAGACAGGCGAACAAATGGTAAAGTATTGTCTGCGTGGATGGGTGGATTGGTTTAGTGTTTGCATCTTGATAATAACAGACGTGACTTTTTCCGGAAAAAGAAAAGAGTCTTTTGCAGCTTGATTTTATTATTATTATCTTTTTGGGCTGGATATTACTGCTGATTGCCTTTTTGTCCTTCATAATTGTCCTTGTTGCTGGTGTTGTGGCCTTGAAGGCCTGAACTCTTATGCGGACTGACACGCAAGCACACACACACACACACACACGCACACACACACACACACACACACACACACACACACACACACGCACACACACACACACACACACACGCACACACACACGCACACACACACATACACACACTCGCACACACCCCACACACATACACACAAACACTTTCTTTTTGTGGTTGGATATGTCTTGTTGGTTTTGTTGATTATACACGGCCTAATTCTTTGCCCTGGTTTAGAGTATGGGCTGTTTGGATGTTTACGGTTGGCCACCAGTTCTCTTTGGGGGGAATGTGTGGTTTGTGGTTTCCCAGTTTTTTTGGGACCCTTAGCAGGGGGGTGGGGTCGGTGCGTTCGTGCTGGAGGCGTCTTCTGTCTTAGGTACGTTGTCTCTTATCTTCTTCCTCCTCTTTGGCAGTGACACAAGTGTGTAGTGTGTAGTTGGAGATGAATGTCGGGAATGGCAATGCTATTATATTTGTTTGTTTTATGGCAAATGAGTTTTTGAATTTGTGGGCCGATGAGGAAGGCTGTCCAAGTTTTTTCGCACCTTTGAGGGGGTCGGGTCGGTGCCTTCTTGCTGGAGTAGTCTTCTCTCTTAGGTAAGTCGCCTTCTGCCCTCCATCCCCTTATGGTTTGAAATATATATGTATACGTATGTATATATGCAAGTGTGCCGCTTTGGCTGCAGACGGGTGTGTGGGCACTTGGCGCTGAACCACACAAACGTGGCCAACCTTGCATTTTCTATTATATTGCCTATGTATACTTTTTTGTTGTGGATGGCGTGTGATGATTTGTGATGATTTGTGAAGGGAATGAGAGAGAGAGAATCTGGGGTCTATTAAAACCACACACACACACACACACACACACGCACACACAGACACACAGAGAGAGAGAGAGAGAGAGAGAGAGAGAGAGAGAGAGAGAGAGAGAGAGAGAGAGAGAGAGAGAGAGAGAGAGAG